GGCCCTATCTTTTTAGTTTTGTTGCTATTCTTGTGTTCCTTAGACAGAGAGAGAGAAAGAGAGAGAGTGAGACAGAGAGGAGTTTTAGTGAAGCAGGTGGGCAGGTGTTTGCCTCAGGCGTCCGCCCTGCGCAGCCATTTTTTTTCAACTTATGGTTCCAAGGACCTTTTGGCTGGTTACCTAGCTCATAGACCTGCGTGTAAGGGGTCTGGTGACCCAGCCTGGCATGTGAGGGGTCTGGGGACCCAGCCTGACATGAGAAGGGTTTGTGACCCAGTCTGTGAATGGGCTTGAGGGGTCTGTGGGCTCCAGACCCAGCCTTAGCTCGACAATCGGCCTAGTCGGTGCAGGATTACCAGCAGGTAAAAGAACCCGACAACTGGCATGGTCGAGTAGCTTTCAATTGGCGTTACAAACAGGATAAGAGCACTACAATTGGTGATGTGGACAGGATTCCAACAGTAGCCATAGCCCTAGTGCCACACTTGCCAACTACTACTGGTGGTGAGAGGAGCCCTTCTCAGGTTTTGTCCTTCAATTTTGCCATCTCCTTTCTATTTTTCTACCTTACAGGTTCAGTTGTTAAATAAGTTTGGATTCATTAAAGAACACAAATACCTTTTTTTAATAGTGGTTAAGCTCTTGGCAAAACTCTCTTTATTTGGCATATGAAATTTATGTAGTTATTTTTAAAGGAATGGCTCAACCTGAGGTCACACTGTTTTTACCAACTAAATCAAAGTATTATCACATCTCTTTCTCTCGTAGACTTTTTTCTCTCTTTCTGTGAAAGGGCTTCATTTTGAGGACAGCATGTGAAAGGTTTGCTGAAAGTACAATGTGATGGTTTTCAGCATGGGCCCCAGCTGTGTGGAGCCCAGCGGGAGCTGTCTTAACGAATGGAAAAGCACTGGAGTGCAGCTTTCTTCTACAACTTAATCTTTACTGCACTGAATTAGGATTTGAGAGAAAAACTACCCAATTGCCAAACAGTGACCCAGTGCACGTCATTTCTCTGCTGACTACTTTGTCTCCTGCAGTTGTTAGCACTAAGTTTGATCTCCCCGATAAAGGAAGTGTACCTGTGGTGGAACATATGTTACTATTCTGTCCATTAAGTATTTATAATATTTCCTGCACTGTAAACCAAGCCCAGTTCCATTCAGGTGGGGGGAAAATAACACTTGCAATTTCTACAACTTTCTTCAGGTATTTCTTCAGTCTATTCCATGAGTATTAATGGGGGTATACTGAGGTATATAAATACTGATATATATCTTATGTTTTGCTTGAAGAAAACTCCTTTATGTTAAAACAACAAGAACAACAATAAAATGTCTTCATTCTTCATGAAGTCCTCAGTGTCTCACCAGATCACAGAGCCTCCTCCTTCGAAGGGTTGTGTTTAAGGAGGTCCCACTCATATACTTGTTTTAAGTTTTTCTTAGCTTAGATCAGAGAAGGTGGAACTGAAAAGTGTACCTGAGTTGGTATCACAGAAATAGTGGTCAACAGGATTACTATGTT